CCCCCCTCAGAGCCCCACCCTGTGGCCACCTCCTCCCTAGAAACAGGTGAGTAGCTGCTCTCATCCTACAAGAGACAAAGACTGCAGATTCTATGGACTAGTCTCATTCCCCACTAGGGACCACCCAACACCAAAGACCAAAATGATCCAGTCACCCTCACACGAGGACCTGGAATGGGGGCAGGTGATGGAAGCAGCAGAGGGGATAGGGCCCTGGACTGGAAAGGGGAAGGATAGGAAGGGGAAGATGAGACCATGACAGGGGTCATGTTCCCTCACCTGGTCATCAGCCATACAGCCTGGGCCCTGTGTCCCCCCTCCCCACTCCCACTGACCTCCTGCAGCCGCTGTATGAGCCTGGAAGGTAATGTAGGCGGAAAGTGGAGCAGGAAAGCCTGCTGCTTCAGCTGCCGCAGAGAAGGCGCAAACCTGTAGGATGGGCACAGGATATGGGAGAAACACTCATGCCAAATCCCAGTCTCAAATCCACTGGGTGGTCAGGTGGGGCTGGGATATGCCATCCCAGGGGGTCAGGGGCCCTCTGCCCTCCTGTGGAAGCCCCACCCAGTGGAGCATCCTCAGGCCCCACCCTCAAAACCCTGCATCACCCTACTCACTGGTCATTACAGATGCAGATAACTGGCCTCATCAAGAGACCCTTTCCTGCTGGCAGCCGCCGCCCCTCACCCACCAACATGGCCGGGCCCCCCAGCTCTGCCTCCTTTGGGCCCTTTCGGTCAATGATGCTGAGGAGTACATTGATGGCAGCCTGGGGGGACATGCAGCTGGTGCAATAAGCCACAGCCCCCATTGCCCACCCACCACCCACCCACTGGCCAGGTACCCAGGAGGCCCACCGTGGGGGCCCCATCAATCTCGTCGATAATCAGACAGTTGGGCTTCCCACCAGTGCCCAGCACCGACTCCATCTGCGTGGCCGCCTCAATGTGCGTGCGGAAGGCCTCAGGACTGCGGTCATCACTGTAACCATGAAGCAGGGGAGGGACCATCAGGACAGCTGTGGCCTCAGCCAGGGCAGCAGCTACTGTTCCTGGCAGGATAATCTTCCAGGGCCAAGCTGCCACACTTACACCTCAAGGTTACCACAAAAGAAGAACCCACAACAGGACTGCTCCAAATCCCAATAACCCAAGATTCAACCAGACATATCAGTACAAACAAGAGGCCCAGAGGCCAGGCCTTCCCTTCCACTCACCTTGCGTTCATTTCCACCACACAGTAGCCGGCGTGCCTTGCAATCACGTGGGCCAGGGTGGTCTTGCCCAGCCCAGGGGGTCCACATAGCAACGCTACCTGCAGCCAAGATGTGAAGACATGCTGCAACCTATACTATGTTGGGGAGTACCCGGCCAACCACCAAAGCTGATAATCCTGTTCCATGAGGTTTGGTACTGGGGAATGTCCCTATCACCCTACACCCACCCTAGACACCAAATGAGAATGCCCACATGCTCGTGGCTCAGAATGAACACTTCAGAACGAGAGAAAACCCCAAATAAAGCAAGTGATGGGGGGACCTGACAGGGCCACAGCCATTACTGACATGACTGATCCCTTGAAGTCACCCACTGTTCACCACAATCATTCTTGGGGAGCTACAAGGCTCTTTGAGGAACACTGGCTTTACCAAAATCATTAGAACTCAAGTCCCATTCACATCACTGACACCCCGCACTAAAACATCATCATGCCCACAGCCAGGGGTGAGTAAATGTGCGTGCCTTGTGGCCCCCAGAGGTGCAAAGGCACCAGCCAAGGGGTAAAACCCCTGGGCTCAGAGGTATGCAATGCAGACAGGTGGGGCTCACTTTTTGCCGGGGCCGCCGGCTCAAGTCCAGGTCAGCCTCAAGCATCTCCTCCAACACCTGCTCATGGCTTTTCCACTTGCTGGAAGCTGTGGCCTCCTTGCCAACCCGGGCCGGCTCCACACTGGGCCTGGGCTTCCGGGCCGGCCTCTCTCGGCCGAACACCACCAGATCCCACAGCTTCAGCCACTTGAGGAGGCAGCGGTTGGTGAACTGTGGGAAGGGAGGCATTGCCTAGGGGGACCACAAATGCCAAGAACTCCCCATGCCTGCCCCTTGTGCTGTCTGAGGACACACAGAGGAACGCTGAGGCTCACTAACAAGTTGCCGATACCCACTCATCCTACTGGTGAGTGGCAGAGTGGGGCTCAAACAGGGGCCTCCATCCCCATAGTCCTGGCCCTAACCCCTCCAGGAGCCCTGCCAACCCCAGGGCCATCCCACCCACGTTCATCAGCTGCTATGAGGAAAGGAAACAAAGGCTACAGGCTTGAGGTGCTCTGGATCCTCAGCCCACATCATAGGTGACCAGCAGCATGCCGGCCCTGTACTAATCTCAGTTTTCCCATCTACAACTCAGCAAGGCAGACCAGTGCCCTGCTCTCCATTCTAACAATTCTATAGGCTGGTAATATATTATTTGGCTGGATCCTTAATTCCCCCCTCTTGGCAACAAGGAAGTCAAGCACACTTCAACAAGTACAAGGCCTCACATCATCACTGAGCAGTTCTGTGTAGTGCTGGGGCGCAAACTCATCCACCCAGAGGCAGTGCTGGGAGTCGTCTTGGCTGTTGGCTGGCACCTCCTCAGGGGCTTCCTCTTCCACCTCCTCTGTCCTGAGGCTAGAGAGCATTGTGCCCTGAGCTGCCTGGACTTAACCCCAGTAGGGATTACCCCTGACCAGAATTCAGGCTGGGGGGTCAGCAGTTCAAGAACTGGTGAGGATCCCAAGAGCAAAAGGACCCACAGCATCACCTGTGCAGTGTATCTGAGAGTCGCTGGGCCTCTTCTAACAATCGCTGCTGCCGCTGTGAACAGTAAGGGTTGGGATCAGGATGGCTCAGACAGCCTCAGTCATCCCAGAGCTACCCCTCTCATCCAGCAAACCCCAGCAGACCCCACCTCACTGTCAACCTGCTCCTTCAGAGTGGCAAAAGACACACCCAGCAGGTTCAGGTGTCCATGTCCATGCCACTGGATGTCCAAGAGAGAGCTCTGGGGGGGAGGAAAAGTAGTAGTCACCTCTGGAACCCCTCCTAGGTCATGGGGTTACCCATGACCTCCTCCCAACAATGCTCAGGAACCGAGGTGGCATTCCCTAGCACAAGCAGCTTAAAGATGGAGGAGCCCCCCCTCTAACCAAGGACTGGAAAAGGAAAAGCCACTAGGGGAGAGGCAGCTCTAGGACAGAGAAGAAGAAAAGTGGAGGGAGAAGAAGAAGGGAAAGAGGAGAGGAAGACGGCCCTCCTGAGTAGATGACTGGAAGCCAGGTGAACTTCCTGAGGAGTCCCCAGGGTCCTAGTGTGGGTACAACCCTCAAGACTCTTTCCTGGGCAGCACCAAGCCTGCCAACCCCATGGGAAGGCTGTGGCCAGCCTGGCCACCCCCCATGGCCAAACAGCACTCACCTGCACCCTAGTGCCCACTGGGTCAGGCCGTAGCACCAGAAAAGCACGGTCACCGCCCGTGGAGGTTACGTTGATATAGTCCTCCAGGACAGGGGGTCGCCTCAGGACCGGATTGCGAGTGGCTGGGGAGGCCCATTTGAGACCCATGTCAGCACCACCGTCCATGGTCCTGAGAAAGGACCAGAGCTCTCTTGGAACTTTTGCTTCCTGTTACCCTCCGGCAAGGAGCCCAGATCCACCCTCCGATAAGGAGCCCTCCCACAGGCCCCCCCAGCCACAGGCCTTGGGACCACGTCTGAAAAACGAGACCCTTCCAATTCCAAGACTCTAGGACACCTGTGCCCCAAGCCACACACCCCTCGTCCCACAGCTCAGCTGGGACCTCAGGACTCGGTGGGGGGGTGATGTCCTGAGGAGGGGAGTCAGGAAGCAGCAGCTCTTCCATCTCGTTCTGCTCAAAGTTCAGCCTCTTGACCGCCTCCAGCCTGGGACGCTTGATCTTGGGAGCTGGAGAAACACACACACGCTGGGAAGAAACAGAGGTGCTTCCCCTGCCTTGCACCCCACCCCTGTGGGGAGCTACAGACGTACTGAGGGGCAGGAGTCTGTCCCTCTGTGCATCGCTGGCCAGCTGCCTCTTCCTGGCATCCCGCTTGCGGTTCCCTGAAGGTCCACCTGGGGAACAGGGAGCTACAGCGTCCCCTCTAGCAAGGGCCTCCTCAAACGTCAGCCGGATCCGGTCCCTGGAGGATGACAAGGCCTCTGTCTCTGCTGGGAGAGAAGATTTCACAGCAACCGCCTCGGGGCGACCGACCTCCAAGCACCGTCATTGACGCTAGAAGGCCCTTCTCTCTCCGACAGGCCCCCGCCTCAGGTCGCGGCTGCCTCCAGCCTTCGCTGGCGTGCCCTTCTCCGAGTAGCCCTCCCGAACTCCCGGGGGCAGGCCAGGGCCCAGTCGCGAGCTACGAGGCCTCGACGAGACCCGCGCCCACCTTCCAGCTCCGCCAGCACCTCGAGCTCGGCCGCGAACTGGCTGTGGAAGTCGTCCTCGACGTCGGAAAGCTCCGGCTCGTAGTCCTCCATGGCCACGCGAACCCGACAAAGCCGCGGAACTCGCAGCCAGCTCCGAACCTCCCGCGCCACAGCTGCGCGCCGCTCCCGCCCCCAGCGTCCCGGCGCCGCCAATCTGTGGTC